CTTACAGCAAAAGCCGCACAGCCTTGCCTTTTCTAGGACAAACACAGCACCAGAATCCATTACTGGGAGGAGTTGCACGTCCGTCTTGGATATCTTCAACTATCTCAAGGAACGTCAGGAGCGAGTGGATATCGACTGTAAGGCCGTCTAACCCGCGCACAAGCAGAATCAGGCGAGCACTTGCTGGCAGTGCTTTTATCCATTTGCGGATTCCCTTTGCCATGTCCTTCCGGCCTCCACATTGCCTTGCAGCACTCCAGCTTGACAGGCGACAGACACAGAGGCAGCAATCATCCCACGGTTAGATAGGGGGCCTCGGGGTTCCTAAATTGCCTTCGTGTTCATCCTTAGGCTCTTCTGGCACGTCTTGACGCTCTTGAGTTGTGGGCATGAGTTCCGCTCCGAGATGAGCTGGCCCTCGTCTTCCTCTTCCTCTTCCTCTTCCTCTTCCTCTTCCTCTTCTCGTGTATCTGTAGCTCCCTCAGCTGCAAGTAGGTGTTCATCGAAGTCAGACTCAACATTGAACTCGGGTTGCTATTGATGTCGATGTCTGCGAAAGTTTCATCAAGTTCCGAACTGTGACCGTAGTCACTTGGCAAATCTTCTAGAAGAATCAGACAGAGCAAAACAAGAATGCAGCAAAGTAAAATACCCTCTGCTGTGCCACCTCCATCTTTTTCCGAGCTATATCCAACATCTTCTGGCCGTGAGTCCAACTCGTCGTGTTCGAGTGGCTCTTCTTCGTATGGAATTCGACAATCAAAAAAACTGCCGTACCGGTCATCCCGGTTGTACTCTCCCTCGATACGTGCAAGACGCTCTTCTTCTTGTCGCCCTTGAATTCTGCTCGCAAGCTGTTTGGCGAGCATACGGTCTCGTTTGAAGGGCCTTGGTGGACGCTTCCCTCGGCGGAACTTCTTCGCTACCTAGTTGCAATTAGCACTAAGTTCACGTTGCTAAATTATGCACCTACTTCCGAGGCCTGGTTTGGCTGCGCACGTTCTGCTTCTGTTTCCACTTCTTTCTCTTCTGGTGGTAGTGGGTTCGGGAGACGAACGAGCGACTCGGAGACAACTCAGGGCCGCTTGGCGGCAGTACCTTGGGTTGCTGACGTCTCATACGAACCTCTGATGAAAGATGTTTCTGCATTGCTACAAACGAGTGAGGCATGCTAAAAGAAAAGCTTTAGATGCACGTGGGCACATGATTACCGGAAAGGGGACGCACGACTGCCAAACTCGAACTTGAAATTGCGTTGAAATTTGTTCCATTGCGTCAGTTTCGCTAGCTGCGCTGCGATCCGTTTCGGGACGAAGGATAACCATAGAAGAGAGAGCTTGGCGACGACAAATAGTCGAAGCCTGTAGGACAGTTGTTGATTTCGACCAGTGTTTCTGTCTGCACTACGGTCCGTTTCAGGTCGAAGGACAACCGTCGGAGAAGGAGTGAGGTAGATGAGAGGACAAGGCTTTTGGAATCCAGAAGACACCAGGGAGTCTGGTGCTGCTTAGGCAGACATACTGTCCACCGCCGCCTCGCTGAATTGGACCACCTTGTTGTTGGAGCCTGGCCAGGGCTGGAGATATTGGAACTCGATGGTGAATTCGTGTCCCGGTGAGCAGTTGACGTACGTCTGCTTGTTGAATTTGCCAGAAATGGCGGCCAACTGGCTCTCGTCCGCCTCGAGGAAGTAGTGTTGGTGGTGTGCCTTTTTGGCACCAAGTCCCTGCCCACCAAAGCTGGTACATGTTCGGAGAGTAACGAACTTGGTGCCAGCTGCCACCCAGGTAGAAGTAATGACGTGAGGGTGGTTCCAGGGGCTGCCAAAGTTCTGCCGTTGGTGGACGACAGATGTCGTCGGTATGTTCTGCTGGTCAGGCAAGAGACAGACCCGTCCACGAACACACTCCAGGGCTGTCGTCTGCCTGGCGCCAGCACGCATTTGCGGCTGGAGACCGCTTTTGCGAGCCGCACCAAGCTGGTCCCAAGGGCAAGAGCTTGAGTTGGGACGGCTGGTGAATGGCGGTGGGGAGGGCGTTGTAGGTGGTGTTGGGATTCCACCGGTGCTCCTACGCCAGGAAACCTGCTGCGAAGGCCTCTGGGCGACAGGCGCTGGCAGGCTTCGTATTACAGGGGCCGAAGATGGAGCCTTGAATTGGCCCATAGGGCCGGAGAATGAGCAGGCCATCTTAGTGAAAGTACTATCCACATCTTAATCTTATTTATAAAGATACTCGAGTAACTTTCACATACAAGAAAGGCCTGATTGATAGATGTTGGTAAAGAATTGGGTGGTGATATAGTCGAGCGAAGGTAACGATCGATAGTGATGGCTGGAGAGTTCTGATGAAGGAAGAGAGAGAGAAGAAACGCCGAATATATACTCCATGGTATTTCTCTGGCTCAGAACTCATTCGTTTCCAAGGTTGCAGAAGTATTGGAGAAACTTTGAATCATCAGTTTGAAGCTCGGTAAAGAGATAGAACTTACTGGTTAGGCAAGATAACGCAGTCTAGATCAGTCTCTTTGATAGTACCAGATCCAACGAATACTCGAATGTGCGTTGAACATATAGACGGTTCATTTCAGGACAAACAAAGTTGGGGCTGTTCCAAGGTTCGACGCATTTTCCGTCAAGAGAACATGCATGCTCTGGCCAAGTATGACAGGAACATCTCGAGGCTTCTGTAGGTCAGGCTTGACAGCGAACCTATAACAAACTTGTTAACGGCGAGAAACTGCTCGCAGTATCGAACGTACCATGCGGCTGCAGAGCCTAATTTTCGTTCGGCCCTCCATCAAGGCTCACTTTCTCTGAGGTAGAATAGATAAAGGTGGGGGGACGAAACTCAAAGCAAATCCAGAAGCAGACGGTACCAAACTGCGCTGTCGTTAGTAAGACTTCAATGTTTGGTTACTATCAACCGGAGTTGATACTCAAGAGTGATGAAACTTCGTAGAAGGTGGACGATGGAAGCTAGAAACTTTTGCGTAGGTGTGTTATTTTCAAGTCGTAAAAGTGAAAAGAAATCAGGCCCCAATGGCCGTGGGAGATATCAACTGTGACTGCAAATCTAGGTGAAGGTGAGTTATAGGAGCGCAATTGACAGTGTAAATTGAGACTAGGACGCGAATATCAAACCGCTACGGTTGCAGGCGAATAATAAAATGGAACTCACAATGTCCACTAATGAAAGCTTCTAGCAGTAATTCAAGTATACGAGAACTGCAGCTCCGCACACCCTGAGTGTATGCTGCTCACACACAATATCTGTAGACGCCAACTGATATAGACTGTAACATAAGCATGAGCGAGACGTCAAAGGAATTGAAGCGACGTTTACATCGTTACTACATTGTCGCAACACGGTTTAACCCATTGAAAGTTCCTGCATACGATTTCGTGAGCAATTTGAACTAGAATCACAAAAGCATCTACAGAAAATTTCTCGTGGGGTCGAAATTACCTATGGCATATCGTGGTTTGGCAGTGACCCTACACCGCCCGTCAAGCCAACCACGGTTCGTGACAGGAGGTCAATAATCTAAGAATAACCACCAATTAACTCCTCCGCACACTTCAACGAGACACATGATGTTAACCGCACGGTTCTCCCTATATGTTACCATAGTTCGTACAGTTCAACAGAGGTTGTGAGCTCTGTGCTCTGGGCAGTTTCATGATCGATTCTTGGTTAGAGCTGAACTGACTGGGTTGCAGGCATTCACTTTGAGGGCGATGTTTGTTGAGACACTTGCATACAATCTGGTTTGCTCACAGATCTTTCAGCAGCCACAGTGTTTAAACTGTTTGCTTGGAGGCCTCTCCAGAATCTTCCACTGTCTCAACCAGCGCACGTTTGTTGGACGAAAAGAGTGAGAGACAGCTACAACATATGGAGGTGTTTAAAAATGGCCTCTTGCACCAATTGAATCCGTCAATCTCCGAAATCCTTCGCCAACTTTCTTCCAAATCAACGTTATCACCTCAATCGACGAAACAGTCAAATCGAAATTTCGTCATACACCAACACAGCAAAAGCATGGACATGCGCCAATTCAAGACACAACGTGCCGACTTATCACAGCCCATGGCCAATTCCAATTCAGCACTCACACTCACGCCTGCGCCTAGCCCACTCGCGCGTGAAACGATCGCCAAACATGCAGACAACTGCGACCCGTGCTTCAGACCCGGCTCTATCATTGTCCACTATAGGAACGACTATGCGGCTTTCCTGCCCATCGACACCCTTCCCAAGGAGCACTATGACACGTGCTGGACAGCCCAACACCTATCCTGGACGTCTTTTATCGAGCAAACACAGGCACAACTCAACATCAACGTTGGAGATAAGGAGCTCATGGCTGATGTTGGCTTGTCCAAACTCATGGCCATCCAGATTGGCAAGCACTGGCGTCTTGCTCTCCAGATGTGTCACGACCAGGGCCGCTCACAATGCGTGTTCTATTTGCTGGATGAGAACGTTGTTGCTGAGCCGCCTACCGAAGAGCTTGCTAATGAACAAGCTCTCCGACGTGGGCGGGCTGGTACACTAGCGGCGGCTGTTGGATTGGTAGGTGTTGTGGCTGCTGGTGCTGCAGCCGTGCAGATCGGCTTGTTTGATCCCGTCCATTACTTCTAGTCGGTTACGCTTGGTGCTTGTGTGGTTATGCCGAGTGCGACTTGATTTACATAGGACAGTATCAAGCTCATACAGGTCTGCCTAGACATCAAGACGTTCGATTTTCAGTTGATATGTGACTGCAAAATGTAGCAAAGCCCCCTTGATGCTAGTAAGGAGACGGCTTGCGTATACACTGACGTGGTTATCTTCTTCACGAAATGATGTTCAATCGTTGCCGGAAAGTACTCGTCCTAGACTCATGCACAAAGCCACAGCACGGAAAAGAGATCCATGTAAAAATGACCGCCGCACCACACCTGTCAGGCATGGAGCAGCGGTTCGGACGACGTCGAAAGAGCAAAAAGATGATGATGAACAGAGTGGGACTCGAACCCACGCAGATTTCTCTACTAGCACCTGAAGCTAGCGCCTTAACCACTGTTGAAGGTTAGTGACTGTTTTATAGTTGTGGTGAGTGGAAATACGAACCTCGGCCATCTGTCCTTTAGTTGTTATAGGAATTAGCCGGACAATTGAATTAATATATGCTATTAACAACCAACCGCAATCAGTTAGTAGCGCGCCTTTTGGCGCTTACTAAGCTCTAAACATCTAACTATAAAGCAAATATTAAACGTTAGACTTTAGTTAAAAAGAGTCACAATCTAAAATTTTCGCATGAAAACGTTTTTCTAACTTAAAAAGACGCTTCTAGCTGTTAATGTATGTATAAACCAACACTAGATTATAGTAGGATATCTATATAACCATAACACGCAGTCATAATGTGCTGTCTATTTTCTGTTTTTTAAATTAACAAGAACGTCTTTTCTGTTAAACTTTAAAGTAATTTGGGCCGTCCTCTGTATTGTTCTCTTCTTGTCGTGTACGTTGTTGGACATCTTTCGTTAGTTTGTATACGGTCTGATCCTGCAGACCCTGCTATTGTCACTTTCAATTTACGCTGCATTCTCTGCATTCTCTTATGCTACTCATTTAGTGTGTTCTCTTTCAAGCCAGTCTCAAAATCTATAGCCAAGAGATATGGAGCAGTATACGACGGGAAGAGCAGTGAAGTGTAAGTATGTCTTGACATGTGGCGTTCAACAGCTCCTACATAGGAAGTAAGGTCTGTATTTTCGTAGTGGGGAAACTGGGGTACATGGTGGTGTTCGTGGCGCGTCACAAACGCGGTGCTTCGCGTCGCGTAAGGTTTCTCTCACACTCTGATCTCCGCCACTTCGAAAATGCCCCTCAGCCCTCCTTCACCTTTCAGTCAACAGCATGGCTAAAAGAAAGCAAGCATCACTGCTCAGCTTTTGGGGAGTAGCGCCACAAGTTCCACATCACGTCACTGAAGTGGAAAAGAAGCAGAAGACGACAGAACCTGCAGCAGCCGTGGCAACTGAGATACCGCCATCATTGCATCCAACGCTGAAAAGCGAAGCTGGAGTTGCGTCAAGTCCATCGGTCACATCTTCACTAACTGAACCCATTGCTGCACCTGATACGATAAGCGAAGCCACGAAAATCCCGTCATCCTCGCCTCCAACGCCGGCAACCCTGGTTGGTCCTGATACGTTATGTGAAGCCACGAAAATCTCGTCATCCTCACATCCGACGCCGGCAATCCTAGTTGGAGCTACATCATTGCGAAACGAATCCATCGCTATACCCAGTCCGCCATGCGGAGCCACATCTCAGGCGTCTCCAACCGCCACCCAACCGTTCGCCAAGCTTGAGTTGTACGTGTGCCCATACATGGTATTGGGTAGGTGCACCAAGCAGATTTATGCGTACAATACGCTCAAGAAATTAATAGCACATGTGGACTTGAAGCATGCTGGTGATGGTCTGGCTACAAGCTATGAAGAAAATCCCTTGGAAGATGGAACACGAAAGATCCCGTGCCCCAGAGGATGCGAGCACATGTCGTCAACTCATCAACAAGCCAACCATCACGCTAAGATCAAGTGCACAAAGCCATTAAGGACCCAGATAGCGTGTCCCTGGCCGGATTGCAATATGCAAATTACGGGGTTCAATGCAGAACACGGGATGGCTAATCACATCCGACACAAGCATTCCAAGGACACAAGGGGCCCCTACCAGTGCTCCAAAGATGGATGCGAATACTTTCATGTGTGTCTTTACAAGCTTGCAGCACACGAGGAGAAGTGCAAGGCTGTGTCCGCTATGGCTAAGGAAGAACATGCATCCCTCCGCTTCAAAATGAACAAGGCAGCTATGGACAATCAACCTCCGACCTTCATTATTGTTAACCGCAGCTCCAGCCATGCTCCAGAGGAGTGGAAGGCAGGTACAGGCGACATTAAGACTGGTCTCCCGTTCGTGGGTAAGCAGATTCTAGCTCACTTTGCCGCTAAGTGTGGCCTGTCTTCTGGGGCCGCTGTCCCGCATTCATCTTATGAATGTCAGACGAGGAAGATTCCAGCCCTCGCTCACGACCTCAGCTACCTAGAAACACAAAACCACCAAAAGAAGATGGTGTGGCGTGGCTTCAAGTTCACGCAAGCCATTGTTAATGATATCACTGTTGCGAACAACGCTGGGATCAAGCCTTTCCTGATTTCACAGGGACTTGACGGCTGGGCTTGTGATGTAAGGATGATTCATCCGTGGCTCCAAGCCACCAAGCTGCAGTTAGAGCTTGTTATCAAGACCAATGCTTTACAGTTTGGCTTGGACTCTACGTTCGCAGAGCAACACGGAGGGGTGTTTTGGTGGCATCACAACCCTCAAGATATCTTGCAGGCACTCGAAGACGGACATGGCAACAACCCTAAAGCAGATCAACTTATCGCCAGCTGGAGGATCTGTCAGAGTCACAAGGATGGCCAATTTGGCGTGAAGAAGAGACGGAACTTCGTTGATATGAACGTCTCATACCCAGCATTGGACTGAGCTTACGTGCGACTCAACTTCCGACTGTCACGCATTCCAAAGATTGTTCGCGCGCGTACAGATTTATGAGTGTTATATTTATCATTTCACTTCTCTACTCCTGTTGTTCCGTGGCTATAGCTGGTCAATTCTGTATGTCGGCGATGTGCCTCAAGGGAAGCGTAAAAAGGTCCTGTCCAGCGTTATACCATCTATTATCCTCCATGCTCTTTCAATCTAGACTACCCACGTACCTTTTTGCAATCTAAATCAAATCTCTGTTTGCTATTTGTCGTAGTGCTAATTAGCTGCAGCCTTCTTATGCGGGGTCCTCGTCGTTTGCCTTCACCTGCGCTCAGTAAACACACGCAAATCGCCGCTCGCCACTCACCGCCAACTCTTGTAGCCTAATTCTTCTTAAGACCACGTTCTCTCCATCTCTCTCTACACCACACATTCGCCTACCCTGTGTAATGCTACATTGAGCGCAGCATCTTGTGCGAAAATTTGAGTGTTTCTGCTCCACAAAGGTACTATTTTTGTGACTACGGCTTGCAAATCCCTGCTGACATCTTGCGAAAGGCCCTTCTCTCAATCTCGAGTCGCGTTGTGCGCGTAGGCCACGATGGCGAAACCCAAGGCATCCGCCAGTACCAAACGCACTCGAGAAGACAGGGTGTACCAGGACAAGGGCAAAGTCCACGCCTTACTTGGCTTCGACACAGCAGTGGAATTTGACAAATGGCGGGAATCACCCTTGGTCAAGCCATGGTGGGAGACATTTGTCGAAAAATCTCTCGATCAGGGCCCAAACAAAGGTAGAAAGGGTGGAGACGAGGACAACTTGCTCCATCGCATTCGTGAAGGAGAGAGGTTGGGTAAGAGGAGATATCTGTCAGCGATGGGTGCCCCTGCCTACGACGACGCTGAGGACTACCATGCTTGGTTAGTGTTTTGGCTTGCTGAAGTGAACACTTCCGACCGCAACGGATGCTTCTGGAACAAGCGCCTCGAGAAGCATCAAACTTGGTCAGCAATGCATAAATTCGTTCTGTGGGCTAAGCGCCAGAGGCATCGGGATGTGCTTGCAGCGCCGAAGAAATCCAAGAAGGCAAAGGCAGCCGCCAAAGAAACCGAGCCAGAAGAGGAGACGTCCCCGTTCAATAGTGAGGGTGAGAGCGAGAGCGAGGACCTGGACCCCGAGAAGGGAATCGCCGTCGTCAAGTGGCTGAAGGGAATACCGGACGAGCTGGAACTGACAGATAATGCCGACAGAGTGATCATAGAGAGACTCTGTAGCCACACTCTGCTAACCTTCTGGAAAGCTGTTGACGATGCATTTGATTTGCCGAAGTACATGCAACGACGGATTCACTTAGGGCCTAAAGATGGATCGACGTTCCGACAGGTACAGCTGTCTGCCAACAAAGACCCGGGAAGTAAGAGGACCATATTCTACCTAGAGACGGAAGTAGCGGCGATCCCAGAGGAGACGCAATCAGTACCTGAACCAACTATCCCGACACAAGAAGGGGATTCTCTCCGGGAAGCTGCGTACAGGAAGATGGTGGACGAGGCAGCGGGTGCAGAAGCCAATCGGTTTGACATGAGCGTCCAACTCTGGCGATACAATCTGATGTTGAATGTGGCTAATGATGGCGCCCGCGTCGACCTACGCGAGGTTACTCTTAATCTCCAAGGACAGCCACATGATGACGGCGAAGACAATGGTCCAGAGATTGAAGCCATTCAAGTGAGTTGGAGCCACGGATTACCCCTTTCTCAAACCATACTTACTGTTACAGTATACGCACGATACTAGGTCGCTAAACACAGCGATTTCTGGTACCGATCGGACCGCCCATGACGGCGACGGCGACGGCGACGGCCTAAGTCTGCCAAAGACAGAGATCAAAGACATCACGGCTGAGGAGATTGCGCGCTACCATGAGCGGAACAAGTGGATCGACAACCCAGCATACCAGCCTCAAAACCACACTCAAGCATGCAAGAATCTGGGGATTCCTAACCTTGAGCGGCCTCGGATTGATGATTTACTTCCCAGTCTGAGCCTCGACAAACATCAACCGACCGCCATCAATGCTCTCGTAGAGTTCGAAGATTCCTGCGTGGGTGCAGGGCTTAATGCGGAGGAAGTGGGGCTTGGCAAGACAGTCGAAACCATCGGCCTGCTACTTTTCCGCTCTAACCAGAGGAAAGCAGCAATAGAGCAAGGAGCGCAGGTGTCTAAGGCCCTACCCACTCTAATTGTACTGTCACAGAATCTTGTCGAGCAATGGCGTGACGAGATCTTCGAGTTCACAGACCGGTTCACCATCTATATGTATTACGGCCCTCCTCGAAAATGTGTCGACAAGAAGGTTCTCTATGTTCCTAAGAACCAGGCAAATGGACGTCTCACTCGGAGCCACAAACTGTTCTCGGGTGCCGAAGGGAACTCGGATTTTATTATCCTCACAAGCTATGCAACATGGACTGCGCGACACGGCCCGAGAGTGCAATGAGCCTGGTTATGCATCCAACGTCAAAATCAGCC